CTCTAGACTTTTACAAGATGTAAAAGATAGAAATAACCTACAAGAAATTATTTTGCGGCAGCATTGCAGATTGAATCATAGAGAAGTTAACGCCGTTTATCTCAATTTAAGAGAAAAGTTTTATTTTCCTAAACTTAAAATGCAACTTAAATGAATACCTTCGAGCCTTGAGTGTTGTTGGAAAAGAACAACGTACGAAGAATAACTAATAATCTAAAAACATGTAATAAAACCATTCACTCCTCAACTGGGCGACAAACTATTGACTCTTTAACGGAACAATCACTCCAGATCAATACTAGACCATTCATAATAAATTAAAAAAAAGAACAAAGAAACTTCTATAAATAAACTTAACCTTACAAGTAAAATGAGAAAACCTTTTTATTATTTAATTTAAAAAAATTATTTTAATTATTTTAAACTTAACAGAATAAGCATATTTCAACCGTATCATAGAAAAGTAGATATTATATTTCTAGTGAAAACCATTTTAAAATAAATAAAGAACTTAAATCTGGTTATACTAATGAATCCAAAAGAAAACTGAAATTTAAAAATTAATTCTAGTTATTGTTCCATTAATCATTCACATATTTCATGTTTCTATCATGTATTTTAAAACTTTTACTTATCTTGATAAACGGAAAATTCATGTACTTTACCTTTCCTCATACGAGAGAAGTAATTCCAAAATAGAATTTAACATTACCTGGTTGCATGAACAAACCGATATTCCTAATTCTTTATTTCATAATTTAGAACAATTAAAAGAAGATTTCAATAACATCATGTTGCTAAGGAAGCTTAATAAATGTGATTGGAAATCGTTTACGTTTCTTGGGTGGAACAATAAATAACATAATAGAAAAGAAATTCAAGAACACTTTGATCTTGTTAAAAGAAATAACGCTCAATAATAATAAAAAATTTGAATGATCAAGTGCCTATAAATAAACAAATTTCAGATCAGTTTCAAAATATAACTCATCACGTAAATCTAGCTCAAAATCAATAATAAAATCGATAAAATTAAAAACGTGTAAGGAAATAAAAAAAAATATGAAATTACTAACAAAACAGATATCTAATACTAAAGAAATTATTCTCGTCCATAAATTAGTAATTTTATCAAAAAATATTATAACTCAAGAACAAATTAAGGATCAAAATATTACAATTGAAATGTTTGAACTTTATTGAAAATTATGTACTTTTTAAAGAAACTATAGTTATTTTTCCTTTATCAATTCCAAAATTTGCTAGAGAGATTTACTTTAAAATAATTGTACAAAAAATTTCTAACAAAAATAACTTCTTAGAGCTCCATACTAAGATTAACGAAGTAATAACCTGTAAACAAAATATTTTTAAAAATGGAGATAAACAGGATATAATGAAAAAATATTAACGATCATTTAAAAATAAATGTATTTCAAAATGTTATCAGATGCAGTTGTTATTACAAAAATTGAATAAAGCCTTTTATTGAATATTGTGAAAAAATCCACAAGAAATTCTTATCAAATTTACAAATTGTAAAATTTCAATTAACTCTATTCGATTTGAAAATATTGAAATAGAGTATTACAGTAAAATCTTGCCTTTTGTAGATTAAAATACAACTACTATCGAAAAAGTTGTGAAGTAAATTCTTCTAGGAGATTTATATTGTAATCATGTTAACAATTCTAAACATATCCAGCAAATAAAGGCAGATAATACGTGGTATACAAAACTTATCAGCAATGCCACAACTGGTGGTTATCATAGTAATAATTCTACCCAAAACGTACAGAAAATTCTAAAACAAACGTTGAATTCACCAGGAGTAAAATCTTAAGGGCGAGGAGTTACATCTCTATTCACTCAAAATGCTCAAATTCAAAATAATGCTAATATGTACATATGTTAATACAAAATAATGTCGTTCTTTTAGATTACCCACTAAAGTTGTAATAAATAAAATAACAAGGTCAGTCATCACTTTTATTCTTTCAATTTTTCTTTCACTTTTTTTCTTTCAAAAAAAAATTTTTAATAATTTTCTTAAGTTACCATATTTCCAAATAAAATTTATTACTTAAAAAATTAAAGTGAACGAACGATCCACTTAAAATCGTTTATGTAGCATTTATTTTTTCTTTATTGTTTTGCTTACATTGCGTTTACCCTTAATATAACAAAATGAGTTATGATTAACATTTGGTTTGCATTTTGAGTATTTTAAATGTTTTAAAAATTATTATAAGTGATATTTAAATAGATAATATTTAAATATTACTTATCTGTAATGTGTTCTAAATTAAGAAAAATATTTTTTTTTATATTTTTTGTAATTTTAAAAACGTTTAAAATTTTTGTAAAATAAAAATATTCCTGCTACTGAACTTAGTTTTTAGCTTATCTTGTTAACGTGTGTCCCACTTAAGCCTTGAGTAGATCCGGAGTCCAAGGTACTTATATTCGGTAACCTGTTCCAGCATCTGCGATGTTATAAATATATATACGTACTGCAACCGGCAGAGGTGTATAATGGACTACCTTAAATTTGGATTTAGTCTGATTCGTGATAAGTTTCTGTGAAGTCATCCAGTTATTTGCAATACTCAAATCCTTATTTTCTAAATTTTGCAAGTTAGTTACGTGGAGATGTCATCGGGAAGCAAGTACACATCAGAATTTTCTCGCAATTGTAGGATATCTTCTAAATACAATTTGAAAAGCAAAGGAACTAGTATATTTCGTTACGGTACCCCGTACCGTACATTTTCCAAATTGCTTCTGAAATTGTTTATTTTTGTATACTGCAAGCCATCATTTCAATAGGAATTAAACCATTGGTATGCTACACTCTTAACACCATAATTATATAGTTTTTGCAATATGTGTAAGTCAGTTGAGTCACAAGCCTTCTTCAAATCTATGAATAAAAAGTGGTGCAATTTCGCCATCATCTTTCAACTTCTGTACATTGCTAACAATGTCAAACAGAGTCGTTGCGGTGCGAGAGTCATATTGTGTCTGAGATAATCAGTCAACATATTCCAGGAAATGGGTAAATTGAATATACACTGCTCTTTCTATTCTTAGGCATATTGACCTATAATTGGCTTATAAATTATTGACTTATTGACATCTGACTAACAAATTGGCACAATACTCCCTATTTTTAGTTTTTTAGAGACCACACCCTCTCTGATTTAACCAAAGGGTTTTTTCAAAAATTTTTGGGAAATATTATTTTTTTTTATTTCTAAGTAGGCTGGTAACCTCATTTTTGTAGTAAATACAAACTTCGCAAGGCTATATTTACGTGATCTCATCTTAGTTTATTATACCAAAATGTTTTTATAAGTTATAATGATTAACCCTTGGTTTATCAAACTAGTTCGATTTTTGCTTTTTGTGCCTTCATTAAGTTGATTTCTAGATGCCTCTTTTATTTTGTTTGTTGAGTTATGAATGAAATCTTTATGCAAATTTTCACGATTTTTTGTAGCGCTTAAATAAATTCATTCATTTTCCAAAATCTGTTTTGTTAGCATCGATACAACTAATTTTTGATCCATCTTTATGTCAAAACGCTCCATATCTGCTCCATTGTATACGAGATACTTTAATCACTGTTGCAAAATGGTCTAATTCGTCAAAATTCACATATGACAATGGCAGTTTTTCATTAAGATTGTATAAAAATGATTGATACAAATAATTTTAAAATTACTCTTTTTCAAAATGCCATATGATGATCATATAATTTCGGCAAATATTAAAGTCTGCATTTCTGCAAAAATTGACACTGACATTACATGACTCCGATCTTTTGACTTTTAAAATAGATCACACTTGCAAAGTCTGCATTTGATATTTATAAATTCAATTAATGTTATTGAATCAACGCACAATGTACACACTTGAATGTGTACTCGTTGTGCGTTCCAAAAAATACCTCTACAAGAAATGCGTAAATTAAGATTTTTATAGTTTCATAGTTTCATCTGCACCAGATTTGCTATTTTTATTTAAATTGCGACCCTCTCCCACTTTCCTCATTTTCGCAATTACTTTTTTAAAGATAAAAAATTTACACGTTTCACATTGTTTTTAAAAAGGGATGCCAACATCAACTGCGAAGTTAAAATGATTGCGCTTTTCTAACTTGCAGGATACAGTTTTTAAAATGATGACAGATAATACATGATCATCATGTGACATTTTTAAAAAGTTCCCCTGAAGCGTGCCTATTTCCATAACACTTTTTTATGTGGTTAGATGAATATTTTTTTCATAAATTAAAAATTTAAATTAAAATCATCTACAACACCAAGTACATAATATTTCGTCAAAGAAATTTGTTATTCTAGTTTGAAAGTTCTCTATATACACTCACATCATTGAATAAAGTTCCATTTTTGTAATCCTTAGTGTAGGATTAATATGTTAGGCTATCATTATCATTATCGTATACATAAATAATTGACTGATGAAGAGAGTTCTTTTTAACGAAAATTCCACAGCCTTCACCAATATTATTATAACGACATGCATTTGATATTTGGTTATAATAAACACTTTCAAATCTGATCAACGAGGCTACAAAAATCTCTTGCACTTAACTTTCAGTTATACATACTACATTAGTGGAGTTGTTTAGAAGCCTAATAATTAGTGCATCAAGGAATAATTGGTGTCAAATTTTATTTCATTAAAGTTATTATAATAATTATTGTTTTAAAGTCTGACAATAAGTTTTTAGCGCCAATTTTAGAATCGATTTGGTATATTTATATTGTACAAGTGAATTGTTCTTTATTTTCTTTAGATTGAGGATTCTTTTTGCTAAAACATAAGCCCTTTTCAAAAATATCACATGATGATCATGTCTTTTTTTAATATTTTTAAAAAGCGAGTGTGAGCTTTTTCTAGGGATTGACCAAAGAATCGTACCTGAAATTATTTAGAACCTTGTGCAAAACACCTTTATATTGGCAGCAAGATTTTCCATACAGTTTGACACGTAATAAAACTAATAGTTTGTTTTTTATTTTAATGAATTATCAAAACTCAAATCAAATCTACGTTTTTGCATTCACATATACACATACATACACAATTTCTTTCGAGACTTGTACGGTTTTTTTGGCTTAGTGCAAAATTTTATGATCAGGTGTGCTTTTCAAAATATCAGGTTGACCACCATTCGCCAAGCTTATCTGGTTCTGATGGCCTACTGTATTAGAAGCTCCACTATAAAAAGATGAATTCAAGGTATGACAGTTTTGTGAGGTTAACGTATGTGTTGCATGTGAATTTAAAGTGTTTTGTGCTGTTGTTGTAACATTTGAAGAAACTCCTGTATAACCGTGAAGAGCACGAGGGCGTGAGCTCCTATTCGAACCATTTCTAGTTAAAGTATTCATTTGCGGTGTACCTGGTAATGTAGGGCACAAAGCGTTCATATAATCAGCAATTAATAAGGTAATTTCCAAAACCTTCGGCTTGCTCATTACAAAAAGCAATTTTTGTTCATTTGTCATAGGTGCATTGTTCTCTTCAGATCCTACGACTAACATAAAATCTTCTTGACATCCTCCAAATGTAATTACAGATGTGTACGGATATCGCACTAAAGGGGCCATTGAACTTAGGTCTAAAATATGAAGTGCATCCTCTGCTACTGCAATCCACACCATAGCTTGATGAGAATATCGAGGCTTTGCTTGAAATAGTGAAGCTCTAAAAAACGGCCATTTGCGGCAGCACGTCAAATAAATTCTAACGCAATCTATTGTGGAGCGACCTTTCAGAAGAATCCATTTGGATATCAAAAGTTCCTGAATTTCCTTTAATTGCTTGGAGCTCATAGCATCTCGGTAGCGGTAGGGAAAAAATTTATCTAAGGCGTGTAACGATGTATTTGTATTATTTGCAGGGCCTTTAGATTTTTCAACAGAATAGTCTCCCATATCTATTTGCGACATTAAAGACGCTAGTTCTAAAGCTAATTCACGCGAAAGCGGAAATCGACCTTGAACGACTTGCTGATTAGTTTGATAACAAAGAAGTAGTTTCTCTTTATCTGTTTCAAATTTTGTTGTATATTTCCAATATAATCGATTTTTAAAAGTCAATTGTATCACACGAGAGTTTTCAAATTTACCCGAACCTTTTTCTCGCAGAGCTGTTTCCCATTTGGAAATCACGTCACATAGCTTTGTTTGCGGATCCAAATAATGTTCTAAATCTTTTTCAATAGGATCGTCGCTAAATAAGCAAAACCCATTTGATGAATCGCGACAACCAATTTGTTGGGTAAGAGCTAAATGAAATTCTTCAATGGTTGAAGATCCATCAAAAGAAACGACCTAAAATGATAGTTACACAAGTATTTAACAGGTTGTCAAATTAATCATTTAACAAGTATTTTTCAAAAAAAGCTCACTTGATACCCGCCATTCATCATATGAACTGGGATAGCGTGTGGTAAAGAATGGTGATATGGGTTTTTCAATAAAATTGATAGCACTTCCATTCGAGATGGTTTAGTTTCACGGCCACCATTTTGTAAAGTTCGTTCTAAGGCACGTTCACAATAAGCTGCGTATTTGCCGGCATCTGTTTTTGAGTCTGCATTTCGCGATAGATGAATTTTTAAATACCAAAGTAAACGGCTATTCTTCGGAGCGAATAGAGAAATCGCTAATGATAACAGTTGCCATCCTTGAATAAAAATATAAGGCGCTGGTTTTAATTTGCATTCTGCTATTGGAGATGGATTGGGCATCTGAAATATATAATTAAAATATGAGTTTATGAAATTTTTTAAATATGAGGTGATTTAAGGCAAAGACTAAAGCTTTTGTAGCTTATTTTCTTTGCGTTTTTTAAGGACAAAAACAATAATTTTCTTAATACAAAAAAGAATCGAATATTATCTGGTCTCCTTAATTAACTTAATTAAGTGACAGTGGAGCAATATTTGCAGGAGTACTCAGATCCAACATTTAGACGACTAAAAGAGAGCTCACCGTACTGACAGGCCTGCTGTCAGTGTTATTCTTCCCTTTACTATATAAAAACTTGTTTACTTTGGATAATGTATTTTCTGTTCTACCCGAACCAGTACTCCGATCATATCTAATTTAAATAGAGTTCTCTCATTTACTATAATGAATCATTTGTGAAAATTGAAAACTGAGGTGAAATTACCTCAGTTAGTTTACGAGTTATCGCTGGGACGGACGGACGGACAGACAAAGCTAAATCGACTCAGAATTCGACGCTGAACAAAACAGCGTTACAAACGGTAAGGCAAATCTAGTATACCTTTCCATACTCTTGCTTTGCCGACGACACACTAGTACTGCAACTAACAATATAATTAAATGGAATATAAGACAAATAAATGGAAAATAAAGTTAAACAAAAGTACATCATTAAATGAAAACTATAATATTTAATAAACCCATCACAATTGATCCAATTGATTAAAAAGGATAATTGAAAGAATAAAAACAATATATTATTCTGAGCGAAATCGATATGTTTCTGTCCTTGGTTGACACCATTCGATTGAGGGCGATGATGTGTGCTGCAGGTTTCATGAATTCCCAAAACTTTTGTCAATTTGCCGAAAAGTTTTTATTCGAATTGAGCTTCTTGATCGCTCGTAAGTCTCGCAGGTACACAGAAACGTGAGGTATAATGCACGATAAGATCTTAAACTAGATGTAGAAGTATCCGTAATGTCAAGTAAAGGGAAAGCCTCGGGCCACCGAATGAAACAATCAACAACCGTTAAAATGTGTATAAAACCTCCCGAAATTGGGAAACGACCCACTAAGACAATATGAATGTGTTCGAAACGTCCAGATGGGCGAAACTTCGAAAATGCCTTAGTAAGATGCTTGTATGCTTGTGCACTTTGACCAGCAATACAGGTTTTGGTCCACGAATTCACTTCAGCATCTATATTTGTCCAGCACTTTATTTTATTTTATTTATTTACACCAAACAAGGTGCTTACAAGATTTATATTAATTTACAAAAAATTCTATTACATACAAAATACAAAAAAAATTACTTATACTTAATACAGGAAACAAGAAAAAAAAGTATTACTAATATTTAACCTATAAACAATAAATACATAACTGCTGGTGCAGCAAAATTTGAAATTTTAAGTATAACGAAACAAAAGTGAATCGAAAGAAAAAACATAAATTATACAGAGTACAATTTAGTGTAATATGATATTACAAAAAATTTATTAAGAAAAGTCGGAAATGTTTCTACTTATGATAATAAAAGAAACTAAAATTAGGTCAATAAAATACTTAAAAATTGTGGTAGGTTATGTTTAGTATAAATTGTCAAGAATTTTTTTTTTGAAAGTGTTCTTGGAATATGTAGGTGAAAAAAGATAGCTAAAACGATTGAATACAGTACAACACCTATTAATGGGCTCATTTTTATCATATTCAGTTCTATGTGTCTGTTCTTTTAGAAATTTAGTGTGTCTAGTAGGCCTGACATCATTATTGATAATTATTTTTCTTTTAATGAATTCGACATTTATAACGTCAGTTACAACGTCAAACGTTAAACACGTAGAAAGCATAGAACGGCGGGATTCAAGGCTAACCATATTTAGGGACTGCAGCCTAACTTTGTAGGAAGGGATATTGTGAAAGTCATGTGGATCATAAAGATTTCTTAAAACAAAAAGAAGAAATTGTTTTTGGACTTTAGTGCTACAACTAATCTTCGATTTCATGATTTCACTTTCAAACTCAACTTTGTGTTGTCAATACAAAGTTGAGTTTAAAAGTAGAATTTTTGTTGGATTGAAAAAAATATTGTCAGCCACAGTTTCAAGCAGTTTACTTTATTCGACGTTGGTTTTCTGTAACTTGGCAATGATTTTCACTTCAAAAGAAGTTGTTTCTGTAGAAGATAACTCGGAAAGCGCGATAAATAGTCAGCAACGACATTTCTTTTGCAAGAAATGTGACATATATTTGTACAGACTTGAGTCGGACTGCGTTCACTTTTGGGAGCTAAAGCATGAACCAGAGGCTGGTGGTCTGCAAAAATCGTAAATTTTCGCCTTTCTGTCGCCTAACGAAAATATTTAATAGCTGCATAAATAGTCAGAAGTTCCCGATTAAAAACAGAGTATTTAAGTTGAGCATCGCCAACTCTTTTAAAGAAAAATGAAAGAGATAGCCAAATGTTTTAAGATCCGATGTAATACTGAACGTGAAACAGCGGATGATACAACATTTCCGCGTTCGCCAAAGCGTCATTTACTTCCCGAAAAATAACGAGCGTTAATTGTTGCTTATATTTTTGGTAGTTTAAGTACAAAACGACGGTAGAAATTGAAACGCTGAATAGCATTAATTGAAGTAGGCATCGAAAATTCCTTAATAGTTTTAGCACGATCTTCGGAAGAAAAAATTCCATGCCCGCTAATTTTGTGAGCTTAAATATTCACATGCATCTAAAACAGCTTTAATATCCTCGATCTTAAATGTATCTTATGAGCTTTCGGATTTACACCACGGGAATTAGATGATGAACGCGCACCAAATTCATTTTGGAGAATATATTGCAACCACTAAGATTATTGGCGAAGTTTTGAATGTGGGGTAACGGATTTCGGGAACCATAATAGCGTTAAGCCGACGATAATTGCCACAAAATCTCCAAATGTTATTTTTTTTTTTTAATTTACTTAACGCTCTTAGTCTATATATATTCGTATTTAATGCAAAGTTTTTAATATATTTTTTTAAATTTTATGATTGAGCTACAAGTTTAATTGCTTTTATTGGATATTGTAATTAAGGACTGATATTTCTTTCGAAATTATCTTTTTAATCTAATTCTTTTGATTTTATCTTTACTATATTTCATATTTTCGCACTAATTATTTTAATATCGACACGGCTACTAGGGAATATAGTGACATTATTTTTATAGATAACATTTTTATCAAAACCGAGGGTCGGGTTAGGCTAGCAAGTTTTTATCCCTCGAACCCAAATACGTGGTTTAGTCAAGAATAGAGTATCAAATGACGACATCTCACCGTGGCTGCTTTGACATCAGAAACCAGTGAGTCTATCATGGACTTATCATCTAATGCACCAGGTTACAAATGAATATTAAACGATTAAGAAGGACTTAATAAAACGACGTTCTGCTTCTGAAATTTAAAGATTAAAGGTCCTTGTAACTAAAATGGACGTTTTAAGGAACATGAAGGGGTGTTACTTGTACTAGAGAATATTGGTACCGTAGGAGATTTGAGACTCAGGTAACTCAAAACTAAAATGCCAATCGATTATTGCGGGGAACGGTGCTGGCAAATTTAATAACCGCCTTTTTATTAAAAACATTTCTTGTTGATACGGGAGTGGACTAATTCAGAATTCGGTTTCCGTGCGGCTAATGGCACATATATTAGAACTTTTGGCACAAAGATGCTTAAACTTTATTTTCGTTTAAGAAGAAATTTCATTCATTAGTGTATATTGGCGGATTTCCCAATCTACTAACCTAAATTAAAAACAAAAAATTATCAATCCTTTTTTATGAATCCTCGTTAACGTTTTGACAGTTGTAATTAATATTTCTACTCCTAATCCAATTCCAATTAAAATTGAATTTGAATATTCGAATTGATTTTCCGGAATTGATAACGCCACCAAACTATTTCAGCCGTGTTAAACATAATGTAATATACAACACCAAAGATCACGTACTTTTTTCGCGTCAGTTATATACAGGGTATCTCGTAGTGAAGTGCCCTGCTATATGCCATTGTATAGCCCCTTATGAGTAGAAAAAACTTTTGTTTGAAAACGGTTTTCACAGCTCAACAGCATCGGTGTTCCAGGGGCTTAAATTAAATTTCAACTGATTTTTTTACTGTGTAAAATTTTAAGTTTAATTCCGCGACTGTGTAAGACAGGCGCATTAACAAGTATGATTTGGAAACCTCAGAGTAAGGGCTTTCTAATGAATATCTACATTAGTTGTTTTCCGTTTAGATTTTGGAATCACATAACTTTAAAGTTCTTTTAATAAACAAAAATATTTTAATAAACACGGATTTCTACAGATGGAAGACAACGATAAGCGAAAATACTAGTTTTCTTCAAAGTCATGTGATTCCGAAATCTGAACAGACTAATATAGGTATTCATTAGAAAGCCCTTACTCGGAGGTTTTCAAATCATATTTGTTAATGCGCCTGTCTTACAAGAAGTAAAAAAATCAGTCCAAATTGACTTTAAACCCCTGTAACTCCAAACCTGTTATTATACACGATACCCTGTATAATAACAAATATACTTCATCACGCTTAGACAACGTGAATAATTTAACCACGTTACTAGTTGTTTATTAAAATCGGATTTAAAATATACCTGGTCAATTTTATATTAAGAATGCATGATCAGTAAGTTTAATCTAACGCAACCGTTCAGTTGTATAAAACATATATGATATAAAAATAAATTGTAGTCAAGTTGTTAAACAGTACAGTTTATATCATTTTGTAAATTGAGTTAAAAATATAAGTGCAGTGTTACAACTAAATTTGTGAAATAAGAATTAGAATCTATCTACAAAATATTGTTTTAATAAAGAAAGAATAAAATAAAAAACTTAAATTTTTCCTTAAAATGACCAAAAGTAATAGCGCAACGCAGTCGGTAGGATGCAAATCCTACAAAAATTTTGTATCCAGTGATTGAAACTATCCAGTGATTAAAAAATTAAAAATCTAATACTATAAGCTAATCAAAACACGTTAAAAAATTCAAAAATAGTGTTACATCAAAATTAATCTATAGAACAAAATTAAATAAAAACTAATAATAATTACAAAATATTTATTAACATAACCATTTTATTTTCATAACCATTTTTCTCAGCTACAAATAAATGTACCATCATATACTCAAAATATAAAGTAAAAGTATATATATCTACCCAGGCCCGGTTGTCCTTTACTCGGCGCCCCAAGTGGTTTTTAAAAGGTGCACCTCCATTTTACTCTATTACATTTTAATAAACATTTCACATTGTGCATTATAAATCTTTTCCTTGTAACCTTATCGTGCTGTATGCAGCATTAATTACAAAATTAAAGCCTAACTAAACTTTCAGCTTTTTGTTTTATAAATTCAACACCAAGGTAATTTAATTTAATACATATTAAACGTGATTTTTTGGTTTCAACAAATAAAAATTTACTTTCTGTCCTAAGAGAAACTAAATCGTAAAAGATTGTAAAAAAATAATATCAATAAATAAACTCTTTTAAAGCTTATTTAAATATAAAAGAATTTTATTTACTTACACATATACTTAAATTATTGTACATTGCGAAATTTTATATTTAATTAAACAACTCAATCATTCCAAACTTTCATTCGTAATTTTAAATTTACAAATGAAATTTTGCATTTTATTCTACAAATCGTCTGAGAAATGAAACAGTGCATAAAAAAGTTTTGACTTGCATTTGAAATTTGGGTAAAGTTAAAGTTTTTTTTTTTATTTGTAGCTTAAAAACTAAGCTTTTTGTATAAAAGTTTTTATATTTTTTAAGATCTTATTAAAATAAATGTTTATTGGCATTTGTAGACTTGCATTTATAGAATTTAGCTTTTGAAATTTCGAAAAGTCGTTCAGATTATTCAACAATTTTTTTCAATTCAATATTATGTAGTATATATTACTAATATACTAATTTATATTATGCAATTGATAAAGTTTTTTACAAAAAATGAAACCAAAACATAGGAGTAAAAGTTTGTAATAATCATGTAATTTTGAAATTCATTTAAAATTTTTTGTTAATAAACAAAATATTATTAAAAGAAATATTGCTATACACATCTCAATGCATAGTTTGATGTATTCCATTATTTGAGAATTTCAAAGAATTTGTTCTCATTCTCTTTTGCTATTTTTTTTTTCTATTCTCATTCTACATTTTCGATTTTTTTTTTGTTCTTGTTTTTTAGTAGTTCAGTGGTATAAGAAAAACTAATACATTATAATAATGAGTTTGTTTGTTTGGTGGGGGGGCGACAACTCAGTAAAAATAAAATTTTGTATATATAAAATAATTTGAACATGTCTACGTACTAGTTCTGACAGGGCACAAACTCAGCACAATAAAAATCTATTAGCTTTGGGATATAATTATATGTGTACGAGCGAGTTTTGATAGAGAGCAATCCCAGCCAAATAAAAATCTTGCCTTATGAGATTATTACATGTGTACGCACGGGTTTTTGTCTTATACACTAGCATGTTTGAGGGCGTCAGAGGCAACCGTCAGGCAAGATGGGTAAAAGAGAATTTTTACCCATCTCCTCTTCTTTAAAAGTAATACCCCCCTGAAATCCTAAAAATTCCATTTTTCAACTATTTCAGTGAAACCATAAGCATCTTTCAAATTCTGCTAACGCAGAAATATTGTGGGTTGCTTTTTCTACCACGATATACTATATTTGAATTTTAAGGAAGCAAAATTGCCGCTAAAAATTGTCGTTTTTTTCCAATTTTTAATGCCGTATTTATTTCCGAAATGGCTAGCTTTTTTAAATTTCTATAAATGCAGATAGATAACGGTAAACTACATGCCATTAAAAATATAATTATTTTTCTTAACTCGCGCAATTAACCCTTAAAATCGAACATTATGTTAACCCTTCTTTAAAACTATTTTTCCTTCATTTTAAAGACTGCATACATTGCTCATCCTAAATGTATGCAATTCTTGAAATAGTTTCGTATACGAATGAAAGTAATTTTAATAACGTAGTACGTAGCTAGATTCTTTTCAGAAGCAGTATTTTCACTTGTTGAAAGGGAAAGTGCTACAATACAAACCATTGGTTTGATCCAATTTTATTGTTATTCAACTGTAAAAAAAAGTTGCTGTTTTAAAAATGTTCGCAATGGACTAAAGTTATTCTTCCGGCAAAATCAATTGTTTAATATTTTGTGTTTCCGCAAACACATGGTGCCAAACACACACAAATGATGACAAAAAATCGCCAGCGGTAAAACGGGATTTCAGGCTATTTAAACGCCAATAGTAAATTTCGCTTCATTTTGGGAAATCCCATTTACATACATACGTGTATTCTATAGGAATTTAAATATTTTACCACAAAATCGCGATTATTCGGTTCTCAAGATATATCATCGCAACATGTTATAATTCCGTACTTTGCAAAGTATTACGTACGTTCAATATCTTTACGGATGACTTTTGAAGTAGTCGGACGTGCTTTTTTTCCCCCTCTAATATTAGATATTACGAGTAAAAATTGAAAAAAGAAGCTGTAAATGCTATGAAGTAACCTCTGGAAACATCAGCTCTGCCATCAAATCCAACTCTCACCTCCCAAAAAATAAGTAACATAGTTATCTGCCGAGTGTCTCCTGCGAAACTTACTTAGTGGGGTTGACGAGATCGGGTGAAAGCGTGTATTCGACCCTTAATCCGGGTTCCGTTGGTTAGGAGGCGCGCGGGAGGTAAATCCAGAAGCGTCTGACGTAGAATAAGCGGCTCTCTGGTCTGCGTCTGATCACTGAGGGGCGGCAGTTTTTGAATACTGGCAGGAGGTATAAAATGCAAAGATGAATTATTTCGGATTTTAGAAAGGAATAAAACTATAGAAGGTGGACTACCCAACACTCAAGCTCTACAAACCAAGAACGAAATAAACATGAGTAAAGCTCAAGCCAAAAAAAGGGATGATCAGAATGCTGATACCACACCACAAGTAAAGCAGGTGAGGTCAATCTTAGACGCCTACTCAACAGATGAGGGAGAACTCGCCAAAGAAACAGATTGGATACTAAAGTAAAAGAGATCCAGTAAAAAAAGAAAAGTGGAATAATATCCGGAAGTGGTCCAGATGATGGTAAACGCTCAGAAGGCGGATGTTTCTGATTCTAAAAATCGAGGCGATGTCACGGAAAACTCTAGGCCGCTTCCAGTAGTCATAAGTAATGTGGTTAACTATAATCAAATAGAGTTAACATTGAAAAATAAGGACATCAAATATAAGGTTAAAATGATGAATAACAATCAATATAAGCTTATTGTAAACTCCGAAATGGACTACAGGAATCTTACCGGGGCCATGAATGGATTTGGACTAGAATGGCATACGTATAAAAACAAGCAGCCCAGACCAATAAAAGTCATAGTAAGAAATCTTTACCCCAGTTGTAAACCGGAAGATATAAAAGAAGACTTGAGCTCTAGGGGTTACAAGATCTTAGATGTAATCAATAAAATTAAAAAAATAAAAGGGAAAAACATTATAGTACCTCTTCCGCTGTTTATGTTAACGTTTGCAAAAGACGAGGAGATGAAAAAAAGGTAAAAGGTATGGCTATACACAAAAATTTTGCTAGAGAGAACCAAATTGTGTTAAATGTCGAGGCAGGCACTTAACCGCAGATTGTAGTAAGCCAAGGAGTACTGCAGCAAAATGCTCCAATTGTTTGGAGGCCCACCCAGCAAACTATAGGGGATGCCTTGCAGCTAAGCAACTGCAACAACATAGGAATAACAATAACAACTATTTGAAGAAGAACTCTGACCCGCCATAAAGGCAATTCAGTTCATGAATAGTGTCTAAAGATGTAACATACAACGAAATTCTCCAAACAAAAACCGATGACAGTGGCACAAGCAATAAAGCAAGAACCAGTGACGTGAGTGTTTTGTGTAAAATGCAAAATATGATACAGAGCATGCTAGATATGATGGACAAAATCTCTCAGAGTTTGATCATTTTGGAGAGCGAAGGAAAAAAATCGAATCCCAAAAAATCTGTTAAATGATGGTACGAAGTATTTTTAAAATAGCGACATGGAATTGCAATGGTATCGCAAATGAAAAGGACGTGCTTGAAGTGTTTCTGCATAAACGGAATATAGACGTGTGCCTCGTGATAAAAACACATATGACTTTAAGAAGCAGGATTCAGTTTCGAGGTTATAGAATTTACAACTCTAATCACGCTGGAAATATAGTAATCACGCTCTAATCGCCGAAATGCGGAACGGCGATAATAATCCCCTCTATTATGAAAATCGGTATCGGCCGATATATTATTGGCAGTTCTAATCGGTTTTAGGTTTCTTCTGTATTATGAACCGATACCGATAAAAATATTTCAACTTATTAAAAGAAGCTTTTTCATACAAATTTTTGTTTTTGTAAATTATAGAAAAAGGTTTTTTTTTCTAATGACATTTGTTTTCTTTCAAAAGTTATTTTCAAAAAATTTTAAAAATTATTTTGAATTTGGTTTTGATGTGCTAAAAAGTTGTTGTAAGCAAATTATTTTCTGTTAAATTTGTAAAATAAAAATATACATATATCGGGAAAATGTTGCGTGCATTATATTTTGAAAGTGATGCAACGGTAGTAAGTGAAAAAACGCAAGCTATTCAAAGACGACATATAAGAGATTCAACTAATCCATTGGTTTAGACAAAATGTATGTTTATGTACCTATTTTATTTTATTATTTATATAATATGTACACATTTTTTAGGTTTATCCAGAATTTCAGATTATCGAAGGAAGCTTTTCGAGATTTATTGAATGAAGTAGAAAACCAACTTAAAATAACAAAAACTGAACGCGCTGTACCTAATATTTTAAAGCCGGCATGTGCTTGAAAATTTTGTGCACAAGGAAGCTATCAACTGAGCGTAGGCGAAGATTTTAATTTAGGTTTAGCTCAACCTACTGTATCTGTTTGTTTAAAAGAGGTGTTCAACGCAGTTGAAAGGCGTTCATGTCCGAAGTGGATTAAATTTGAGTACAGTAAAGAAGAGGAACGACGTGCCAAAATTTATTTTTACGAAAAAACTGGCTTCCCAAATATTGTGGGTTGTGTAGATGGAAGACACATAAAAATAATAAGTCCAAAGGAAGAAGTAAAACATTTATACTACAACAGAAAAGAATTTTGTAGTTTAAATGCATTGATAGTAAGTTACTTTAATAATCACCTAAATTAAATTGATAATAAAAAATAATTTTAGGTATGTGACCACGTAATGAACACACGTTATGTGAATGCCAAATACCCAGGAAGTCATCACGATTCACATATTTGGAACGTGTCAGCTTTTAAAGCTAAAATTGAGAGTGATTATCGTAGTGGATGAAATTATTTTAAATTTCTGGGTGAGTACATACACATATTCTGCAAAAATAAAAAAATAACAAATGAAATGTTTGATTGTAGGAGATTCAGGATATCCCTTGGCACCATATATGCTAACACCTTTCAGAAATACTGAGGAGGCGTCCTTGGAAGCTCGTTTCAACAAAAAGCATGCACAAGGGCGTAATACATACGAATATCATATCTTACGATTTTACTCCTAAATAAAATATATGAATAACAATTTGAAAGAAAATAATTTAGAAAAAATGCTTACATTTTAAAAAAGCTATTAATTACACCAGTTTCCTTGATAAAATGAAGATTTTACAAAAAAAATCTGTAGTCTAAAAATTTGTACCTACTTTTAAATCGGGGAAAACCCGACAATTTATAGTTTTTATAATACCAGCTAATACGTTTCCTATACAGGGAAAAAAAGCTTTCCCGACTCCGATAAAATTTACCGATAAACAATGTTGGTAATACAAACACAAAATTTTGCCGATAAATTATCGTTTATCGGCCGATACCGATATACATAATAGAGGGGAATAAAAGAAAATATAGTGCAATGATCTGCAGCAGATGCAAGCCGACGGATTGCAATTGACGGCGGTTCAGATCACTTCGACTAAGCAAAAATTTTAAATGGCTGCATTACGTTGTCACCCCAGACTTAAAACAACGACAGAAATGTTTCAGAACATTATGGGCGACCTAGGCGACAGATTTATATTGGAGGGTGACTTTAACACCAAGCACACCGATTGGGGTTCGAGGCATACTTCAACTAGAGGAAGAGAACTGAGGACAACAATTTGCGAATCTTGCTTCAATGTATGTAAAGGAACCGAGTATCTTGGATATGTTTTAACCCGTTGATGACGTTAAACCAGATCCTATAATATTCAAAACATAATCAATTTAAAATTGTCTGTAACACAAAAACAGATAAGGTCACTTTTAGGTGCAACTGTGGTCGTTGTCGCCATCTATTATTTTATTTATTGAAACACTTTATTTGATTTTCTTATTTTAATTATTTTTATTCCAATAGTTCTTTCATTTTATATTTATGGATTATTATTTATAACAATTAATTAACTCTACAACAATTATTATTTGTTATTTATTTTTTATTTAAATTATTTAGTTATTTTAGTTATTACCTTCTACCTTGCTGATTCAAAAGTTAATAATGACGAAATTATCTTAGAAATACAAGAAGAATTTCATGGTATACAATACAGTTTGTTGAGAATCAATTTTCGAATAATTGCATTTCATATTAAATTAAAATGTGGTTGTAAAGCGACGAACGTACGTACATGTATGTATACCATAATACAAATACTTCAAAGACCAATAATTACATACAGAGTGTGTCACCTGCTTAATATTTTTCTTCGCGTCGCTACATTACTCCCCGTGCAGTATAAACGTTTTAATACAAGTGCTGGAGTGCGAAAAATTTAAAATTTACAAATTAAGAAGAAAGTAGAGAAAAGATAATTAAAAAAGAATGTAAGATTTGCTGGCTACTTTTTATATTATGTTTTAAATTGTACAGTTTTTTCAATCCGCTTTTAACTGCTTGTCTCGCTGCTTAAAACACCGAAAGCTGGCTTTAATCTGTCCACTGAGACCGAAACGTTCTTGCTTTTTATATCTAGTACGAATTGTTTGCGAAACCTTCTCACTATCGCGAATGGACTTTCATAGAGAGGAGTAAGACCGGTTTTAACGCGGTCTACACGGACAAAGACGTGAGTGCACATATTCAAATCTTATGGAAAGAATTCCTTTGATTGTGTAGGGGTTCGAGTCGGAACGGTTAGAATTTTAGACATGTATGATCTAATTCTTTCGACGAATGTATTTTGATCTGCAAAATCGTGTGTGGTGTCTCCGAAAAATTCACCTGGAAGGTTCAAAGTTTGCCCATACAGCATTTTCGCGGGATAATGCCCCAAATCGTCCTTAATGGTAACTCTAATGCCCAACATGATTAGCGGTAGCTCCTCACTCCAACTTGCGGAAGCACACTTTTCAAAAAGACACGATTTCAGCTGTCTATGGAACCTCTCCACCATTCCATTTGATTGGGGGTGGTAGCCTGTCGTACGAGTCCTATTAATTCCCAACATTTTGTTCAAATTTGAGAAAAGTTTAGACTTGTAGTGGGATCCCTGATCCGTGATGATTGTAAAAGGTACGCCAAAACGTGAAATGTATTGTGCAAGAAAAGTTAAAGCCACTGTTTCAGCTGACATATCCGCTATTGGATACGCTTCAGGCCCACGTGAAAATCTGTCCACGATAGTCAATATGTAAGAGAAACCGTTTGCCGGCGCAAGTGGGCTAACCAAATCCATATGTATATGTTCAAATCTTCCTGGAGCGACCGGTATTTTTTCCGTCGCTGACTTAGTATGCCTTGTAATCTTCGACTTCTTGCAACTGATGCAACTTCGAGACCATAAACCTATGTCCTTGTTCATATTTGGCCAAAAATATTGCTCAGCGCCCAATTTTCTCGTAGCTCGAACTCCAGGATGGGACAAATTGTGCAATTTCTCAAAAATTTGGTGTCTAAGTGGTTCTGGTACCCAGGGCTATTTTCGCCGGTTGAAGTTTCGCATAATAATTTCTCTGTTGATAACGGGACCTCTATGTAAGAGAACTGCAACGTGTTAGTTTTGGAGTCATCTGACGCATAATTTCGTAAAGTATTATCTTCTTTCTGTTTCAAGATAAAATCACTAAGATTGGAATCCAAATTTATTGGTGAGTTTTCGAAATCACGTGAAAGATATTCAGCGACCACGTTACTTTTGCCGCTTATATGTCTAATATCGGTGCAAAACTGCGCAATGTATTCCAAATGTCTAGTTTGCCACGGACTTCGCTCAACATACGACTTCATTATGTGAGTTAACGGTTTATGGTCGGTATAGATGATGAAATTTCTGCCTTCAACAAAATATCTGAATTGTTTAACGGCAAAATAAATAGCCAATAATTCCCTGTCGAATGCAGAGTAACAAGTCTCTGCCGATGACAATTTTTTTGAAAAGAAAGAGATTGGTTGCCAGGAGCCCGAATTGTATTGTTGCAAGACTGCCGTCACCGCAAAACCCCAGACAAATCAGCCCCAGCATCGATCAAAAAATTCAAATGGTTTTCTCTATCTTTAATGAAGACACGGCTTGATCTTGAAGAAACCGAACTGTTGGCCATCCCAACAGCTTGCATGGCGCAACACACCTGACATTTTTCCAAATCGAAAATGGAAACAACAATCAGCACCAGTAGACCTAAATCTTTTTCTGCTAGGGGTCCGACTTTTAGTCCTATCTGTGAAACGGGTTCGCGACTTCCGATGCTCAGCATCTGAATTTTTAATTCAGCGATTATTTTCTTAAGGGAGCAAATTTCTTCCTGCAGGTTTGCCATTTTGTTTTGATTGATGAGCTCCTCAGACTTTGAGGCGATCCGCGCAACCACAGATCTAGCATCCTGCGTTGCATCCCAAATTAATAGGGTTTGGATATCTTGTACGTTTTGCGAAATTAGAGCGATGTTTATTACGTGTGGAACACAACTTAACCAAAGTTCCATGATGAATTCCTCACCTGGTGTAGCTGCTGAACCTGCTAGTTGCTTCAAGTGACGGAAAAACTCTGATGGTCGTCTGTCTCCTATCTCCTCGTCCGATATTAATTTCTTTATTCTTCTCTCCAAACTCATGGAATGTCTGCTCGTCAGTACATCCTTTAAATTATTATACAAATTGTTGTCTGGGGGATCCTCCATTACATCCATGATTGACTCGGCAACATCTTGTGGCAACGCTGCGACAACATAATTGTATTTACTGGGTCTGAGCTAATTCGATTTATTGGAAATGAGGCCTCGAGTTGTTTAAACCACATACCGATCGATTTCGGGCAGTAAGCAGGGAAACGCGAGTTATATATACTCCTCATCCAAATTTAAGTGTCACAAATTCTATTGAAAATCTTTCAAAAAATTCGTTTTCCACGAATTTTTAAATGAAAGAAACTCAATCGCCACTATAAATGGTTAACAACAACAACAACAAAATCAAAATCTTGATTTTGTTGATGAACTTATCAGTAAAATGAATAAGGATAAAAATTAGAATTGACTTAAAAACACTTTACTTAAATTTCATAATTTAAACCTTTTTTTCTTGTTTTTACTTTTTATATAAATTTACTTAAAATCTCAAAATATAACATTATTGTCCAACGATTTTCCCACATAATTTACTGATACAGTTATTTTTAGAACAACTATGTAAATGTGAGAAATCTGTTGAACAATAATAATAACAACAACAATAAATGCAATAGTAAAATAGTTTTTTTTTCCATAAGTAACTTTATACCATATAGTATAAAGTTACTTATGGAAATATTTTTATTATAAGAAATAGGATCTTTTCCATAAGAGAAAATGTTTAAATAACACATTTTTTAGTCTTAGTTTGATAGTGAAAGGGTTGACATAAAAATCCAGTTTTAAAATATTATTATAAGATTTTAGTTTTAAATAAGTTAGTAAAATAAAAGTTTTTTGTTTGACGTTTTAAAAAAATTTATGTTGTGCTTTATTTATAAAGGAATATACATATATTTGATAAACCGCTAAAATCAAATATATAAGTGGCGCAGAACACGGTAGGATTGATTTCATAGAGTAAATGAATCGGATCTAAACGCTAATTTTAATATTAAAAAAAATAATAAAGCAAAAAAAAAATTATTATAAATTAAAATTAATTTTGTTATAAACAAAAACAACTATTAACTTTAAAAAAAAATTAAAATAATAAAAGTGTAAAATTAATTGTCCACTTACAAGCAATCTTGGTTGGACTTATAAAATTAATAAACACTAAAACATTTGTAACACAAAAACATAAAATAAAAACAACAAAAAAAAAAAAAAAATAAACTAAAATAATTTTTCAACTATAATCAAAAATAATAAAATAAAAATGGCTCAAGCTCAAGAACCAGAAGTAACTGTTCAAAACCTAATGGCAGCATTGCGACAAAAAAACCAACAACTGTAGCAACTTGCTTCCGCTTTGCAACAACAGCGAAGCCTTGACTCTCAACAACTTCTAAAGGAAGTATAGGCCAACATTCACCGGAACTGGAGATATCACCATAAATTCATTTATAAGCAGTGTGGAGTATTACTGTTCAGAGACAACCGAAGCTGAAGTTTTAAAGTCAACAGTGAGGAAAGTAGAAAAATAATTTTTTACGAAAAAATTCAAGGCGAAGCTAAGACCGCCATCCATTCAATTTAAAACCCAGACGACTGGTCAACTATTAAACAAGCACTCAAAAGAAGATATAGGCCTAACATCGAACCATTGCAGATATACCGGACAATTACAATCATCAAAGTAAATACGGTAAGCGAACTTTTATTAGAAATTCAAAATATAAAAGCTAAATCAGAAGAATTAAAAATTTATTATAAAGAAGAAAATTATATTAGATAATGTAGACAGGATCCTTGTAAATACAAGTAAAGAAATTACTCAAGGAATACTTTTAGATAAAATATATGAAGAAACCGATTTATTAAAAATTATTGATATATTAAATAAAAGAAAATATGAAGATTATTGTATTAGACAAAAGTTTAAAAAATCAAATCATAGATCGGTTCCTTCAACTTCTAAAACTTCTACTTGGCATAATAAAAATAAAAATAATTTTGATAGTTTTAATAATAAAAACTTTCAAAATAATGTAAATTTTAAAAAAAACGGTGGTAGAAATTTTGATAAAAATGTTAATGGTAATTTTAATGGCAGTAAAAATAATAACTTGGAAACCATGGAGGTGGAAAATATAGAAAAAACAACACCTAAACAAGAAAATAATAATATAGATTTTTTTATCAACTAGCCTCGGATGATTTGCCAATGATTAGAGTGACAATTGATAAAATTAAATACTTAGCTTTAATTGACACTGGATCGTCATTCAGTATACTTGACGATAAAATTAAATATTTTAAAAAAGTAGAAATTCCGCCAATTAATTTTTCAACAATCAGTGGTAGATACTCTATATATGTATAGTGAATTACATACACCAGTTTTTGAAGAATTAGGAGCCCCTAAAAATACATTGATTAGGTGGAAATTACAAATTTTACCTAACAGAAAATATAACTTTATAATAGGAGCGGACTTATTAAAAAATTTAAATGCCATAATAAATTTTGAGGAGGGTAATATAAGTTTAAATAACAAATATTTACCATGTATTAACAGACCATTTAGTTTTGACCAAATTTATCTATTAGAACCCACATATTCGAATATTAATGCCTTAAACCTTGACCATCTAAATAAAGAAGAATATAGGGAATTAATAAAGTTATTGAAAAAATTTAAAGGTGTTTTCTTTCAAGAGGGAGATTTATTAACTAGTACTCCCGAAATTGAGCACGAAATTGTCACTACGACGGACCAGGCCATTAACTCTAAATTATATAGATTTCCACCTCAACAAGAGCAAATTAAAGAAATGGAGGAGCAGGGAATTATCAGGAAAAGTAATTCCAAATATTCAAGTTCTCTCATTCTTATTCCTAAAAAAATAGACAATTCTGGTAAGAAAAAATACAGAATTGTTATAGATTATAGAAAACTGAACAAAGTGACAGGACGATAAGTTTCCTTTACCCAATATTGACTCAATATTAGACAAGTTGGGTAAAGCTCAATACTTCACCACATTAGACTTGGCGAAGGGATACCATCAAATTTTAATTAAAGAAAATGATAGAAAAACAAACTGCTTTCGTCACTCCTCACGGTTTATATGAGTTCAACAGGATCCCATTCGGTTTGAAGAATGCTCCTGCTACTTTTCAGAGACTCATGAATGAAATTTTAAGGGACCACATAAATAAAACTTGTGTAGTTTATCTCGATGATATTCTAATTTTTAGCACCTCGTTGACAGAACATATAAAGGCAATAACGGACATTTTTAAAATATTAGAAGAAAAGAACTTAAAGATTCAGGTTGACAAATGTAGCTTCATGAAAAACGAAACTGAGTTTTTAGGCCATATATTAACTGATGAGGGCCTTAAACCCAATCCCAATAAAATAAAAGTAATAGAAGACTTAAATTTACCTAGAACTCAAGAGCAAATTAAAAGTTTCCTCGGACTAACGGGATTTTACGGAAAATTCGTCAGGGATTATGCTAAAATTGCACAGCCCATTACGAAGTACTTAAAAAAAATATGAGAATTAATATTAATGACCCTAATTACATCGATGCATTTGAAAAACTCAAAACTTTAATTATAACTCATCCTGTCTTAAGATTTCCCAATTTTGAAAAACCGTTCTGTTTAGCTACTGATGCTTCAAAATATGCAATTGGTGCTGTACTATCACAGGAGGGACACCCAATTTGCCTTGCATCGAGAACGCTTAATAATCATGAACAAAATTATTCAGCGACTGATAAGGAATTTTTGGCCATAATGTGGGCCATTAATTATTTTAGGCCCTATATACACGGAAAAAAATTTAAGATTCCTACGGATCATCAGCAAATTAAGTATTTGCATGCCAAATATCGTGGACTTGTCACCAAGGCATCAAAGGTTGGCTACTCAAGTTGTTTGAATATCAATTTGAAATTGATTATTTAAAAGGTAGGGAAAATCGTGTCGCTGATTTTCTGAATAGAATAGAAAACGATAATACGAGAAATAGTAAGGTAATTGAAGAATAACGAAACGTAATACAAAAGTTAGAGCATAAAACTGAAGATGGCTCTGACTGTGGCATTTTTAATAATGAAAGCGCTGAAACGATAGACATGGTAGACTACGGGAACTGTACTGTAACGATGGCTACTGTACACTCTACAACTGAAGAATTGCTACATCATATTCCTATATAGGAGGAAATAGTTAATAAATATAAAAGTTAAATAATAATAACGAACAATAGAAATGTAGAACAGGAAAATATATTAGGTCGACAGATTCTCTATATTGCCGAATATGACTTTGACAACTTAGATGAAATCCTAAAGGGATTTGTGAAAAAAGGTAAAACAGGAATTTTCTCGAAACTTTCTGATAATCGTTATAACGTAGTACAGGAGAAACTTATTCAGTTATTTTCTAATGATAACAGTTGTTATGGGCTAGGTATAAGCACTTAACATTTTTTTTCTTCGCAAAACTAATTTTTTTTTATGGGAAAAATTTAACTTCAAGATGGAAGGAAATTTTTCATACATGCATATAAGTTTTAATTTTACATAAATTGCTCTATTCTAGGTAGCAATAACGCAATTTAAAATTCCCATCCCTAATAATTATTTCAATAATACAACTTAAAACAGTGGTCAGATTTTATACCTCTTTTTCTATAAGAATTACTTTTTTTTTGCTTTAACATAATAATTTTGTATGCGTGCATATAACCTATGTATATGTATACACATTGTTATTCATAAACATACCTATTCATAGCAAAAAAAAAAAAAAAAAAAAGTTTACAGTCGTACATCGCATGATTTGCATGTTTACGCATAAATATACTTGTACCTTATTGGTATTTGTAATTTTTTTTATTGTTCCTTTTCGTTCTATTCTCTTCTCATACGCATAATGCAAATTGTTGTTGTAGTTTTTTTTCATTTCAATTTGAAATATTCTAATTCTTTGCTAACCCTTATATGGCATATACTATTCTAATGTGAATTATAGGTGTGTGCATGATCATGTTGGTG